ATTACTATTATTATTATTACGAATTTATTATAAATGCGATTAATACTATCTTATTAGCGATATTATTACATGGACATTATTATTTTATATGATTAGGATTTACGATACATGTGCATATATATGCTATGTTCAATATAGAATATATCTAACGATATTAAATGAGATCCTATTTTGTCGTTCAATTAAATTATTACTGCATATTACGGATTTTCTGCATTGATATGTTATTCTGTCTAATGGTCTAATTCTAGTTTCTATTTTTTTATTTATCTACCAAGAAATGTTCCAAGTCTATAATGCACGTTGAATTTTCGACTGTGCGTGTATGTGCGTATATGTATGATAAGAAGTCAGAGTTTTTCTTTTTTTTAAATCGTGAATGACGATCGAACGATTATCAAATACATAGAAATTTAAAAAAAAAAATAGTTTGACAAGTAATTAATGTGCATTAGAATATTAGATCACTACATTGATACAATGATAATAATATATTCCAGTGTTTTTACGTATGTATACAAATGTATTTCTAAATTGTTATAAATATTATTAAATATATCTTACGTATAGTTGTTACAAATCAACGTTTTCCTAATCGTAAAATTTTTATTTGTTCATTTCTTTTCTTTTTGTATGCAATAGAGGACCAATAATAAGATAGACCTCGAGAGTGTATATAATTATCACATTGTTGGGAGAAATGAAAAAAAAAATACAAAAAAAAAAGAACTTTTATTTATAACACATGTTGGCACTTATTCAAAAAAATTCTATAAAATATACATCCTATTTGTTAGGGTCAATCGTATGCATGTATTTGTATATGTAAGTATGTATATATGTATCTACCTATTATAAATGACGAAAAATTGAATTTTTCTTTTATATATATATATATATATATCTATATATATGACTAAAATTACGTATATAATAATTAAAAAAAGTATTAAAAAAACTTGTTAGAACTTTCTTAAAGTCAAACATTGTTCACTTTTACGTAGATACACATATAATTGTCGATTATATTGTATAATAATAATATTGGCTAAATTTGTTCCGGGAAAACATTTGTTCTTTTTCGTTCTTTCGTTTGGTTTCTTTTTTTTTGTTTTGTTTTTTGTTCATTTACTACTGTTTCTTCTTTTTTTATTCATTACGATACGCTCATGTATATATATAAAAATATCTTGATATATAATGCACTAATGTATTATTTATTACGCTACTGCATATCATTACTTACAGATTGGTAAATTGTAGGTCGTCCAACGTTATTTGAATTAATATTAGCTCTTTGAATAGTTCTATCTTCGTATCTCGTACTTCCTTGGCTCGCCATTGGTCGATTCAATGTGCTACAATCATAGCTATATTTAACGTAGAATAAACGTTTTTATGTATAACAGGGACTCTGCATTAAATTTAATAAAAATATAACATAACATAAAATAGAAATTTATTAATCATGTAATGAAAACGAATCAAAAGCACACAAAAATGTCATAGACAAAATAAAAATTCAACAATATAAGAACTGAATAAAAAGCAGAGTCCCAAAACTAAAAATTAATTAACAGAGGATATCAAAGTTGTCTTATATATAAATATAATAAGAAAAAGAAAATGATAGAATTTGTCTTTTGTAGTATTAATAATTGAATAGTACGGCAATACCTGTTAGCATTATTTGGCGAATTAGGTCCGGAATTTCTAGCAGCGACAGTTTTCGTTACAAAGTCCTGTTCCTTCCAGCCGTGTTTCTTATAAACGTCACGTAATTCCTGATGTTGCCACATCGTGAAAAGAACTTGTCCTATAAAAAAGTGAAGAGGGGAAGTGACCGAGTTTTTAAATCACTTTATTAAACGAAATTAATGGGTTTTTTTTCGGAACGGCAAAGGCGGGATTATCGCGAGACGCGAATAAGATTATACTTCATATTTTTCTTCCTTTTTTGTTTTTTTTTTTTGTATTTGATCTTATTTTCCTTACCTGCGAACTTAAGAACACGAGGGGTATATTTTTGACGTTGTCGCGTTATGTTCATAAGCCTGTCGACACCTCCGGCGTCCAATAAAGATCGTGAAAATTCGGCATTCTTCTTGATAACTTCGTTCAGAGTTGCAAGCACCGCTGCTATCGTATCGTCGCTCGTCCCCTGATCGTGCTGATTATTCCCCGAGGGTAACTTCTGTATGAGATCTCTCATCGCATATTTACCAATTAGCTCCTTATTACGCTGATCTATCGCGAGATTTCTCAGAGCAGTTGCTACTGCGCAAACCACTCTATCCACCTGGGAAAATATATATATTGATCAAATATATTCACTTTGTACAAATGTACAGTATTTTTCCTTTGAGATAGTGAAATGTGCTGGTTGCGAGTGATTTTTCTCTCAAATTAAACGGAAAGAAAAGAAAAGAATAAAGAAAATACATTGTAGATGTTTTGAAAGAAGAAGACACGTACCTCCATTCTTAACAATTCGACTAAAATAGGAAGGCCCTTGTCCTTACGAACAGCTGCCCGAATTTCAATACTCGGTTGCCAGTAACAAGCTGCAAGATTTTGCAATGCTCCTGCCGCAGCTTCTAATGTTTCCGGATTAGAGCATGTCTGTAAAAGGCTTAAATAAGACTGAACGACTTCCGGTTGCCAGAGTAATTCCATCCCTCTGACCGGATCCGTTCTTGGACTCATCGTGCGTGACGTTGCATTCTCTTTTTGAACCGGTTGACCGTCCTTCTTCTTTTTACTACCACCAAAGCAACCCAAATTTTCACCTATGACAGAGAAACAAAAAGAAAAAAGGACAAATTTAATTAGCAAATAAAAACCAACGAATACAAAAATAAATCAATCAATCAAAATGAATATCGTGTGGTCATTCGTACGAATCGTATATGTATGAAATCGATTACTATTATTTGATATTGACTGCGATATTAATGTCAAAACCAGACACGCCACGCACGCACGCACGCACGCACATACATCTATGCAAAACACACGCAATTCTTTATCGATGTGGCGCGAATTTTTTATTCGATGAAAAAGATGAGATATGGACCCAATTTGTTGAATGAATGGAACATAATCATTAGTGATGTTCTTTTTTCTTTTTTTTTTTTTAATCTATCCCACCCCAATCCTCCAATAATATCTACGCAATCACGTTCGTTACTAACAATGTTGATCAAGTTTAATAATCGTGTTTACGTTCGAGCTGCTGCTCTTATAGTTAACACAAAAAAACTTCATGCATTCGATTATAACGAAGATATACAATTTCTACGCATCGATGATTTATTTCTTCGGTACTACGTATGTATATATATGCATGTACGTGTGTTATGTATATATATGTATGTCTGTACATTGCCATTGAACTGAAAGCCAACTGAAAAAACATTGAAATACTGCCTACACTATGCAATGTTATTTTTTTAAACAACATAACTCGAGTCTCGTTTCGTTTCAATCCAACTAAAGCGCTCCAAGCTTTGCAATATTTTCGTCCTTCCTTTTTGTTTTTTTAAATATAAATGCAGATATAAAGATTGCCATGAAATTAGTAGCATAAACATTACAAACAAATTTTAAATATGCATAAAAATACAGGCTGTGCCAAAAGTACCGAAGTGGGCCAAATATTGCCTAGATTCGTATCATTATAATTAATATGAATTTATTCATTGTATTATTTCATTATTTACAATATACGTAAAATCTTTTGTATTTTTATAGTTGCAATAATTATTTCAAGTAAAATACTTTGATATTTTAGTTGACGCCATTAACGTAAAAGCAAATATCATATCCAAAAGCAATTGGTAATTTGCCGGTTATTTGTTGATTTTAATATATTATTATTTTGAATAATTACAATATATCATTCAAATTAATATTTTTGTTCCGATGAGACGAATAAATTAATAGTGTGATGTTTGTCGATTGCAGATGTGTTTAATATATATAATTTTAAAAATATATATGAATAAAATATAATAATAACAATAATAATAATAATAATAATAATAATAATAATAACATATGATATACAGATATGTCTCTCTTGAAATATTTGAAGAGCTCGTAATAAAGAGCCACGAGAGAATAAATATTTTATAATATCACTAAGCGTTGCATGCACTTGTATAACGATGCATATTTAAAAAAATTAATTAATAAATCATTAATTAAGTAATTAATCTAATTTAACTATGTGTGAAATTACAGTAATGTCTTACCTTGGCATAAACTGTACGCTAAAAAAAAAGTTTAAATAGATTTTAAATTCATGCCAAAGTCGAAACGGATATCGTTCTTTAATTTTATTTTAATCTCGATAATATTAATAATTATCTTCATATGCAAAAAGAAATAAATAAATTATATAATAATAATAAGAATAATATTTAAAATCTTTGTCACGTGATGGCTGTGTAACGAGTAATCATGTAAAAAAAAAAATATCTTTCTGTGTCAATACTCTGTTAGTTTTTTAACCCCATAAAAAAGGCCTATCCTATTGACATACGCTAATCTTAAAATGTATTCAATCCCAAAAAACGTCCCTCTTCTTCTTTTTTAAAACGAAAATCATTTTTAATCCTACTGATATTTTTCAAAATGACGTTTTTAATAACACAATTATTCTTCAAACAAATTTACTATAACGATACTCTAGCAAAACCATAATATTTGTTAAAAGACATGATTCATCGTTGTAATTTTCGTACTCGTAACTATTATTACTAGTTTCTACACTAAATATAATTTGTTAATTATACTTATCACTAAATCTCACCTCTTTTTTTCTACAAGAATGTTAATAATTAAATTGTAAGAAATAAACGAATTGCATAGTTTAAATTTGCGGATACACATGCATTTCTGTTGCACGTCAATTGCAGAAATGTCCACGAATGAATAATAAATGGACACATAAAGGAAAAAAAAATATAATTTTGTTCTTTCTTGAGAGAAAAGTATTATGGAAAAAAAGAAACATGGGATTGGTTCTCACCTTTCACTGGTGCCGCAACTCTGTTCTGCACCGCCGACTGTATCGGATGTTTGTCGTAATTGGGGTCCTCAACTTCTTGACACCGATAACTTAAATTTCTTAAGATGCATACGCAATTTTCCACTATCTTATTCCCAATGTTCGACTTATCAATCGCGGAACGCACTACATATAAGAGAGCATCCACCAGTCCGTCACATTCCCTTAATTTTTTTCTCGCGTATTCTCCAGCACTAGAGACGTTTCTTAAAACACCCGATGCATTACGAAATACTGTTGACCAACATGTCTCCCCGTTTGAAGAACTTGGATCCCAGCCGCTATGAGGTATTATTATGTTCTTCACTACCATCGTCACTCCGTCGTCGATGATCGATCGTTTCAAATCCTTTAAATATATATTCAAGATAAATAAACATACAATATATATAAGAATTAGGACAAAAATAATTGCAATTTTGATTATTTCGATAGTTTACATTGTTTACTTGCTGAAATATTACTGGATTCCATATTAGGTACAGTTGCCCTACATTGCATCGTTAAATTTTCACGTATTAATGTTCGTGGCTGACCGTATTCATATTAGTATTCGTGTTATCACAACTGTACAGTTTCAAACTTGTTACTTTGGTTACATTCTATTTATCGTGACATTAACAATGACCACACCGCATTACATTAACATTAAAGAAGAGTAATGAGATTAGTAATCCGTGCTTTGTGGTCTAAAGACGTAACAGTGTCCAGAATTCATCGAAGATTTTAACCACAATAGAGAACATTGTTTTACACCGACGAAATTTTAACGAATGTGTGTGTGTGTGTATGTGTGGATTAAACATTTTTTAAATAGTAGTAAAAATATTAGCCATGAAAAGAAGTTAATCGTCCATTCAAAGCCACTGCTGACGGCAATATTGAGCGTGTACGGGACACGATATTTTCAATTAAATACATTTTATATTTGTAAAAAAAGAATGTTTTTTTGTTGATCCTTTCTGGTGCAAGCGTAACGACAAGTGGCCATTGTTAATTTGACAATGAACAAAATATAATCAAAGTGACGAATTCATAACTGTGCAATCATAATTGCACACAATCGGGATGCACAAATATTAATACGCGAGTGTTTGACAATACAACGCACGTAAAAAAAGAGCAATGCTATTAACCCTTTCGATACTACCGACGATTATTTTTCAAGAATTATTTAAATAAGTTTTATTATTACGGTAAAACGCGTTTAATTATAATAACATCAAAATGTTAATGTTCAATCTTAAGATGAACCAATTGGAACGTTTTTATTACAGCAGAGTTAACCACCAATAAGCTACTGTTAATTATATGGGACAGTTGACAAGCGAGTGTGCACTTTACCGCAGAGTAAAGGGTAACATCTGATACTGTGTCATATTATGCAAATTATCGGTCTCTTACTGAGATTTATATGACATTGATATAGAACTATTAAAAGTAAGAATAAAATCAAGGTATGCTATGTTCAATCAGAGTTCTCAATTCGAATAGAATTTTGTTGGGTGATTATAGATAATCAAGTTTATAATAAGGAGCTAGTATAGCAGAAGGAAATAAAATAAAGGTACTTACTTCGCAAGAAGACAAATTCCACAGTACTCCGGTTACAAGCTCCTTGATGTCGGCATCAAGCGTCATACGCAACAAATGAATTAGAGCGGGTACACCACCAGCGTTCTTTATCGCACGTTTGTTCTCGTCGTTTTGTCTCCCATAAGACAAGTTTCGTAACGCCCCACATGCGTTTCTATAGATATCGGGATCGTCATGATCCAATAATTGCACTAAGGGTGGAATGCCTCCTAGACTACGTGTTTTCTGTTTATTTGGATCGTCCATATAACAAAGATGTTGCAAGTAGGCAGCTGCATTAGCTTTGATAATGTTATTTGGACTGCTAAGAAAACTGATAACTTCCGATAAGTTAGGATCTCTCCATCTCATTGATTTTTGATCATCGTCCAAGGGCGATGTCATACCCGGTACCACCGGATGACCGGATTGTAACCGTTGAAGGTGTACCTCATCCTCAAATATCCCTGGTGGTACACCAGACGACAATGGGATCGGATGACCTTCGTCGTATCCGGGTACATCGTTAGGAACTGCCACTGGACCTACCCCAACACCAGGACCGTATCCCACTGGCCCATATGGGGATGGAGATACGTAACCATAGGCCACTTTATTCTCATCTGAAATTATAACACGTTATTACGTTACACACGCGAAATGTATTACCTTCTTGTCGAGAAAAATATAAAATAAATAAAGAAAAACATCAAACACGAAGCTGCTGCTGCTGCTGCTGACATTGTTGCTGCAGTTGTTTAAGATGTTGCTGTTGTTGCTACGGAAAGCATAATTCACTTGCATTATCTTCATCGTTTTAGATCGGAACTTGATATACGAGTCCGAATGTAGGCGAGGAGGAAGGAATTTTGGAGGACAGGGAAAAGGGGAAAGGTACTATGAAGTAATGCGACAAAATATTTGCTTACTCAACATAAATATGCATGAAAATGAATGATACACATGTATTTTGCGATTAATATAAACTGATAATAAATAATAAATCAATATAAGCGCATGGATATGCAAGATGACAGTAAAATAAAATAATAAATATAATGTAGCCCTACCATGAGGATGTTGTGAGGGCTCGCCGGAGTCATCCATATTCCACGAATTGCTGATCTGATCTAAAAGTGAAATGAACAGATGAAATGAACAGATAAGACAGTGAATTAAGCCGTGTGTTTAAACGGTGAAAGCATTCAAGTTTTTCGATGATGTTATTCTCGTTGAATGAAATATTCATAAAATATAATATAATAATTTATTTGTACCGAGGTAATTATAACAGTGAAATCATAAATAAAAAACATCAGTATCATAAATAACAAAATTGAAAAAATTAAATAATTTTGAGATTTATTTCAATTAATTTTTCTAACCTTTTTACTTACAATTAATCCATCATCATAATTGCCGACAAATATATATATTATATTTTGTATATATACCAGCATATACATGTACATGTATTAGGTTGTCCCATAAGTTCTTTTCGCGTCACGTTATCTATGACTTTGAGCCGGCTATGTTTGTGGGCATGCAGGCTCATCTATTATCCATTTAAAAAAGAAAGAACTTATGGGACAATCTAATACATACACATGAGTATTTGTTTAACAAAATTGTTCATATTTCTAGAAATAATTTAATTTGAAATAAGAAAAAAAAACATTTACACTTTGATGATATGAATAAAAAAATGTAAAAAATAATCTATGCATAAATATAGATTTGTTGTTATACCATATTGATCTCCGGGACCGCCTGGGCTTGGAGTAATGCGATAATGATCTTGTAAAGCCGGATTAAGACCTGGGTCAATGTCGTTGTAACCACCTTCGACGAATGGTGCTGCTTTACGCAAATATTCTGTTTGCATAAACATTAATAAATGATACAATTTGTGCATCGAACATTTTTTACATTCTGACACTTCATGACTGTACATTAAATTGTATAATATTTCTAAATGAAGTAAGGATTATTTACACGTTTGATATTGATAAACGAAATAGAAAAAATATTAGAAAGTCTACTCGAGAAAGTGATCAGTTTGAATGCAGAATGAGCCCCGTATTGGTAATAGTAAGTTTAATTTCTATGAAAGTAGGTGAGAAATCGATTATGTACCATGCGGTGGTGATGCACGACTGTGTTCTGACGGACTATGCGGGCTGTGTGGTGAATGCGATCGTGGCATGTAAATTCCATGAGGACCTGGGTAACCAGGTTGCGGAGGATACCCGAGGTATGGATCGTAATGGTCAAAACTGACCATGTATGGATCCGCCGGATATCTCGGATCAGCATGTTGATAGTCTTGCGACATCAATGGCACCGACATGTAACTGACTGCACCTGGATCTGGTTCCATGTGTGAAACTTCGCGCACTACTTTCGTCACGGTCGTTACCTAAAATGATAAGCAAAATACAATATTAAAGGGATGATTAATCGTTATTTACCGAAGAAATAAATATGTCACTATTAAGTTAACTTTTATTTATTATCAAAATAATAAGCTTGAATATCAATAGCAATTAAAATATGTACAAAATGTAACTTAAAGGGAACTGCATTCAAATTTTTCTCATCCATTCGTATTAATCCAAAATTATATTATACATAGTTATTATATTAACTTTGAATTTATAGAAGCTTATGAAAATAAAAAAGTAGATTAAACAATTTGTAATTCATTAAAATAGAGAGAGAGTTCTCTTTCGCATTATGCAGTTATCCAAATAATTACTAACGACTCGTTGATCAAAGGATGCGGATAATACCAACATCAATTTTATTTGCATTAAAATATAAATTACGAAATTGTATGTATAAAAAAGGTAAAGGAATACAATACTATTAAATAATACTAATGAATCGAACACGAGAATAAAGTCGTTACGGAATCTTTCGTAATGAAGATATTATCGAGAGAAATATTGATTTTTAGATATTAAAAGAAAAAAAGAGGGAAAAAATACGAACGAATTTTCGAAGCCAGACTAATATTCATATGTACGAATATAACGTGAAAGTAGTAATGTCGAAATTTTCCTGCGATATCTATTTCGATTAAGATATTATCAATAAAAATGTCATTTACATAAAAATATTAACTGCGTACTTTTAGAAGGGTATCAAAAACAAAAAAAAAAGAGGGCAAAATTTTCGAAGCCAAGCTAATATATTCGGGGAACGAATCGACAACGTCAAAGCCTTACTTGCTGCGAAGTCTGTTGTTTATGAGTTCGGATGAGCAATGGATCCTCTTGGACAGACAGATGAGATGAGTGTAACGAATGTGTATCCGCTTGTCCGTTACTTCCATGATAGTCCGCGTCACTCTGTCCGCTGAAAATCGAACCAACCAACGAACGATATTATATATAACATTAGAATATAAGGTACAAATTCAAATTACGAATATATAAATATTTAGATACTTACGTATACTGTGGCATGTCGGAACCTTTGTCCTGAAGTACTCGTCTAAAAATAAAAAAATAACATAGAAACACAAGCAATTATTATAATTATTTTTGTAGAAGAAAATATCAAATTGTTTCTTAACAAATATATACTTATCGTTTAATACGTACTGTCGAATTTTGTTTAAATATTTTCTTTTAGATAAGCGAAATCGGGGTAAGTTTAGAACATTTGCTACACAATCGAGCAACTACACAAAAGGTTCATTAAATAATATTATATTAACTCTCTATAATATCGAAATGTTGTATTTAAAAAAGAAATTTTATAATATGAAATATTTTTGTAGTATTACTTTTCTACAGACACATTATACTTGTAAATTAAAAATTACAGATACCAACTCTGGAATATTTTAGAGTATTAATTGTAATTATAGAGGGTTAATTGTAATGCACAATATCTACGTTAATTTAACAAATAAATAAAATAAAGCGAAAGATATTATTCTTCAAGAATTGAAAAGAAAATAAAATATAAATAACTAAAGGGGAGAGTAAATTTTCTAAATTTATAACCTACAAGGGTTTTCTCTTATTTTTCTTTTAAACGAGAAATAAAGAATTCGTTGAAACGTGTCATACCGTTTATCATATTCATAAGAGGAAGGAGGAAACATTGAAGGAGTATCACTAATTAGTCTAACTACTCATCTCATTTCGTCAGCACTCTGCTAAATGATGCATGCTAAATGAACGAATAAATGTTGTTAGTGCGCCGAAGTTGTTCCTTTTGAAAATGATGTCTGTGTGTACCATGTGTTAATATATATTTATAGTAATTATTCTATAATAAATGTGTATACGATGTATTTGTATGATGTCCAAAACAATAAATTTAAAAGAAAACAAAATTATTAAATATTCGAGTTAAAGAAAAAATGATAAAATAAAGTTCCAATCAAATGTTCCAAAAATTGTTTTACCAAGGAAATAAAAATAAAACGAATGATCGATATTGATTAATGAATAGAATAACAATATTTTGTTTTTTATTTTAAAATATAAATCTCCAGTTACAGTATAGTTTCAAAAATATGTTTCCGTCATTCCAAATATTTGTCACGACAAATTTTCTTATTTTTCAGCTCGGTAAAGCGACTTTTGGAACACTTTGTACATATTATATATACGTACAGTAAATATATATAGTGTATCATTGCAAAAATATTTCTTCAATTGTCAACTGTGTTATTTTTCAAATACAATACATATAAAAAGATAAGAAATTAAATTGATCGATTACGTAATCTGAGTGTACACGTAAGCGTACACATACAGACACATGTATACACATACACTACTTCAAAAGAATCAACTTCTAATAAAGTGCGATTAGTCACCTCTGCGTTATCTCAGTGCGCGTTATGTTGTGCTCCTGTCTCTGCTCAATCCTGCGATTCACCAGCCTAACATGAATAATTAACAGAATTACCATTATCATCAATAATTTGCATTTTATAATAATAGATATATATTAAATATTTACGATTTTCTCTTTCATTGTAATTTCAATTGAATGATGTAATCAAATTGGAAGAAATCATCCTGATAAGTTAAACAAAAGAAACATTTACATTCATTTGAACATTTTCTTTTTATTGATGATAAACAGCATTGTGTTTAGATGATCTATGCAATATATTTATGAATTTCATCTGTCCGAATGAAAGAATGAAAAGACGTATGTGTATATAAGTTCAATTAGATAGGTAATTAAATTAATTGCTAGAATGAATGATGTTAGTCAGCAAAGAATATGTTCAATGGTGGATTAAACATTTGAGAGGAAAAATATTTTTTCAAATGCTTCATTATATTATTTATATTTAACATATTCGTGAATAATCTCTGCCCTTACTTTCCTTTTCCACCATTGAAATATATTAACGACGAGCAAATGATTAATAATATATGATTATAATATTGCTAATGAACATGAGTGTTAATTATGTTTGGCGTAACTGGAAAGAAAATAAATATTATACTTAATGAAATATCATGTGGTTGGTTAAAGCGACAAATTAAGTGCTAATATGATGTGAACATGATTTTAATTACGATACTAAAATGTTATTTTGTTCAATGAAAAGGAGATTTAAATTCAAGCGGTTTTAGAATTATAAAATATAGTATTTTATACACTATACTTGAGAATGTGTGCATGGGTAAAAAATTCGATTCGTTAAAAAAAAAAACGGTAAAACTTGCTTGAAAAAATAATCTAATTTGGGATACGATGTACACTTACAGACAGGAGTCAACCAGCTGATTATTTGACATACCAGCTGATTTTGATCTCTTGGTAAGGAGCGTCCGATGGTAACTCTGACGCAACCCTGACTGATGCAGCCCTGCAACAAAAATAGAACACAATTTTTATACAATATAATATTAATTGTTTTTTTTTTTACCCCAGAAGACCCAAAATTATATTTTTGGGGTGCCAAACATTTGTTTGCTGACCTTAAAAAACGTTTAACTAAATAAAAATTAATAAATGTTATAATATTATCCTGTTTAAAATGAGATAACTTTTGTCTAAAAACTTTCTCACAAAAATACTGTATTTCCGAGACAAAAATGAGTTACTCTATACTTTGAATGGCTATTGTATATGTATATGCACTTATGCATGTATGTATGCATGTATATAACTAAAACTAATGGCAGTCTCGGTTCGTCGAAATTAATTCGGAAGTTAAGAGATAAGTTATGGAACGTAGAACGAATTTCTCACGACTAATTGTTCAACTTTTAGATTAAATCCCAACTAACTAACTTGTAACTAAAATATATGATCCATGATCGCAAATACAGGAACGAGAGTTGTGAATGAAATTTCTAAATTCACACGTTGCCAATTTAATTGTCCTATGAATCTACAATTAATACGTCGATTAGACAATTAATTTTTGTCATTTGATACGTTTGCAAAAAAAAAAAACAATTTGAACGAAATTAGATCATTGAGGAAAAAATATTATCGAGATCGTTGGAACAAAAGAAGAATAAGAATAAGTATCAACTTCAGTTCCAGTTTGGCACGAAATAGGAAAGGACACTTGGTCGTTGTGTTAAGCGTTATCAGCTTGGTGAGTTCGACAATGAACATCAGTTGTTGCTTTGTCGAAAGGTCCGGAAGAGTTACGTGCTAGCAAATGCCTTTTCGCCATGTTCTATGCTCGTTCGTTCAACGTTCGAACAGTTCATTTTATTGTGTTCTCTTGCGTTCTCCTGCGTTCTCTTGTGTCTACGTTTAAACGGTGCATTTAGATAAAATACAAGAATACAGGGTGGGTCAAAAGATTCATTTTTTTAATCCATTAATCTTGAAACTACATTTTTTACTCGTCCCAAAATTTCACGTCATCGAAAATTGGCGTTAGCTTTCTGCGTAACTCGACCTAATTAATTTGAAAAATGACTAACTAACTTTTGGCCCACTCTAAAAGCTTCGGGTCTACCCTATACAAAAATCTACTGATGTGAGAAGGATATCGGAGAAGAGAGTAGCTCGTCAAATTTGTTGAATTTGTCAGCAGTGCAGACTAGAATTTCTTCGCTGAAACATCGAAACGTGCTTCGTTAAACTCGCGTTGGCAGCCTTTTCAACATCGAGCAACGTTCGCGTTCTATATGCAGACTGATTCCCCTAACTTCCACACTTCGAATAACTTTTAAATTATGCATCTAGTGAAAAAAAGAATTGTTAAATGGTAAAAGTTACATGATTTCAATGGACTCTACGTTCGAATGTAAAATAAGGACACTTGTGTTCATAAATATTTCTAACATACTACTTCACTTAGAACACGTTACAACTCATCGTTTAATATCTCTTTAATCGTTAGATTTAGAAGCAACATTGGTGAATACTTTTTACTTCAAATTAAATACTGTTTCGAGTTGTTATCCCAAAAGTATATGATTTTATTGAAACAATCAAAGTTAACTTTGAAATTGTTGAAACCTCATTGCATGCAAAACTAAAAAGCTACTATCCTATCATTGAACTCTCTCGAAATCATGCAACTTTTGTATTAGATATTTTTTTGATGCATAATTTAAAAGTTATTTTACACTCTGCGAGTATATGAATCGCCCTGTACGAATATTCTTTTTTTCTTCTCGTTTCTTCCTTTTCTCTTCTCCTTTCTAATTTTATAATAGGTACATTAGATTTTTTTCTAGTGGAAAAGTACCGAAGAACGGAACACACAAACCACCGCCGACGTACTGAGAATATTCTCCGAGAATTGAATTGTATTATATATATTATATATTCATGCGAATTTCGCAACAATCATCGGAGAAAGTAACATCCAAGTTTATAATAACGTTAAGGGGGAAGAAATTATATATCCTGACGTACATACTCTATTATCATAGAAAGATCTTTAAAATGCATAAGTATGCACACTGAAGTAAGACTCTTAAAAGACAAACGAGTCTTTACCTTTTTTAATGGAACAAATAGATAATATAATATAATTAGAATAATCTTATTAGTACTAATAGATATCTTCTTAATTATTCATTTTAATGAAATAGATATCTCATTGTTATTTATTGATTTTATAGTTATAATAAACGAGAGGTTAATCATTACCACATTTAAATATATCAAGTAACTTTTTCGGAAGCATACAACTTTTGTATAAAACATTATTTTATAAAGTTGTAATATTACAAATAATTTCAAAGTAATTAAAATGAGACAATTAGAGTGAAGCAGCTCATATATTATATTATACACAATGGCTACGAAGTAATCTAGTAGTCGCACAGTTTGTTTGCTCCCTAATGCACAACATTGAATATTAAATGAAATTAAATTAATTAATATGCTAATAATTTAGCTAAACCGTATTCATGTCAAATTTAATTACCATAATTACTCTTTATATATATATATTAATTTGATGAATAATATAATCTATTCATATTAAAAACAACAAAACTTACGTACGAAAACAATACAACGGATTTTTCACGATAATCAAATAAATTCGTTGGAAAAAGTTATGATCAGTCGAATCAGCACGTGAAAAATACAAAAATAATCTTTTAAATAGTTTCTTACCTACTTTTTCAAGATCGAATTACATACACATGTTTATCCGTATTTATATATGTGCTTACTTGTTCTCCGAGATGTAAACATTCGAGATAAAGTTACAGTTCGACAGTCTTATTGAAAACACGTCATTTTCAATTCGTCCCTGGTAAGAATATTATTCCTTACAATATTTTAACAAATTTAAATTAATTATTTATAATTATTAATTATTCATTATTATTGTTCGTATAACGAATTGAGTTCTCTTTCTCGTATCATTTTCTATTAGTTTTTTATCAAATCGAAAGTGGATTTTTTACAAACAACGGATTTATTTTTCAAATTTTATTTAATATTCAATATAATTATTGATTTAATTCTATGTGTTTCGAAATGTTTCCAAGAGAAAAAATGGTCCGCGGACTGAGAGAAGTTGGACAGCGCTGATCTAATCGCTAGAAATAAGTTTTCTTTCTATCATTTTGATTGTTCTCTCTAGTTAATATAGAGAAAGGGGAATTTAAAGACTAGTAGGTTAAAGGAAAAGTAGTGTTGTAAAAAGGATACAGGGCAGGGAGTAAAAATAATCTTTGTGTAGCAGTACACACTGTTTATTTTCAACGGCCTTTTCGAATCACACTTTTCGAATTTCCTTTGTCTCTCTATTTACTTGTAATGACCTAACGTCTCTCTTCTTCCTCTTTGAAAAAGGGAAATGAAAAGTTGAAAAGTTTCGACGTTTGTTTAAACTCGTACGACATCGTGTTCGAGACGTCGCGTGTTTTAAATCCACAACAAGGTAGATACATTGAAGTTGCTACAGGCTGACCGATATTTTTCTTCTTTTAATTTCCGGTCTCATTTGGCATAACGTGCTGCACATACACATACATACACATTCTATTCTATTCTCAGTTTGCTCATTCATTTATTCTCGTTTCCCTACTTTCCTTCAATTTCCCATAAGATTGTAGTCATCGTCGACGAAGAATTTCGTAGTTCACGAGCTTATATATTCGAGATGAAGTTTCAACTTCAGGGAAATAGTTTTCTATCGACAGCTTCAATAAGTACTGTTACTTGTATAATCTTATCGATTATGTGGAGTGTAACGAGGACGAGGTAATTCTAGGAACCAGTGGTATAGTCACGACTATAAACAAACTATGCGACTACTAGGTTACCTTGCAGTATATGCAATATTACTACTAGAATATCTTACATTAGTTTTTAAATTAATACATTGAAAAAATAGAGTATCAAATAAATTTTATCCATTATTTAGAGATACCAAATATAAAATATACTTGTTTCATTTTTACATTAAAATAGGAAGAATCGTATTAATTATAAATATTTGTAATATCAACACACTTTTTTATAAAGCGATATTTTCTAACTACGTGAGTCATAAAACATTGTAAAATATCATCATATATTGTCATATAAAATGATACTATATAAGCGTTGAATTTAATACAATACAGTGTATAAATTGCATAAAAAAAAAATCATAAATATTAATATTTCAATTTAAATGCATATGAAATGTTATTAAATGGATGAATCGTTATATTCTACTGATTTAATCAATTTTAAATTGCAAAATAGCAAAATAATCTAATTAAGGGGATTAAAATTGGTTAAATAAAAGAAGGGGGAAAAAATCGAGACAAAATCTGTATATATAAAATCAGGGATATAAGTATTTAAGTAAGATTAATTCAATTAGACTATGCATGTTCACGAAGAGATAACAAGCCGGGAAGATATATATATATATATATTCAGTATCAAAAGAAATAAAAAGTGTTAATCGATAGTATATTGCGACAGCAGGGTGAAGATAGGAATTATGAAACTTGGAATTAAATCACAACTTTTTAATTAAGTTACATTTTTAATTTTACGTAATTTTCTTTTATACAAATTCTTAAATAATTTTTGTAATGTTCTTTATATAAATTAATGTGTAATTTGTGGGTCGGAGATAATCATAAACTTCAATGGAATACGAAAATAAATGAATATGTACTTAGATCTTACAAGATCCTAGTACACAAGATCCTTTGCACTTTTTAAAAAAGTGCAAAATTTTACGGTTGTATGCAATCATTTAGCATTGCTTCATTGTACACGAAATCTAAACTTTTTCATGGTTTTAAACTATATACATACATATACATATTTTAAAACACAATTACCGTATAACACGAAACGCATTCGGCTAATTTATATTACTTTGTAGTTTCCTGTAATACGACTTGGAAACAAGATGGTAGAAATTAACCG